CGGCTGGGATAGGCTCCAGCACCCCCCGCGACCCTAGTGAGGATCAAGCGGTTCGGGAAATGAATGAATGAATGTTATTCTCAGAAAAGTACTTTTCTGAGAATGTTTAGGCCAGCAGAGAAGGCCTTGCTGGCCCTCAGGGTCCGCCACTGCCATTTGCCTTTCCTGAGCATGCTTTAATCTGCTTAGTGACACCCAGCATGGGGGACATCAGCAGCTTAATGGTCATACTCAATAGAAAACCCTGTTGACCAGCTAGCAAAAATTAGCATGAGACATCACATGAGGGATTTACCATCAAGTAAACATTTTTTGGGGGGGGTCTCAATCCATTCAAATATGTTAATTAGATCATATTCATTTTTAATTGCTTGAGTAAATTTTTACAGTAATGTGTTGCTGTTTATTATTTAATCTCTTATTTAGTTTTTTACATTGTTGATTTAAAAAAACATGTATGTACATTAATATGTATTTATTTGAGCCAAGTGGATACTTAATTTCATTTTCTTATATGTTATTTGTTTTGACCTATTCACATTTGGTTTATTACTGATTCTTAAATGCATGCCTTTAGTTAATTATATTTGAACAACTTTTTCTTTCTTTATTTGTGTCAATTGTGATTGGATTATGATGCGACTTTTATGTTGCGATGCCAGCATGAAACAAGAAAGAGATGTACGTTACCTCAATCTTCCAATACTGGAGGCTTTGCTGCACATGGCAGCACAGCGCTCTGACGCATAGCCAAAAGCACTGCTGGATGTAGCCTCTGGGCAAGCTTCTTGTCGCTTTGATTGACAGCTCACAGGAATAGATGTGCTGAATCAACAATTGCTGGGCAGCGCAAGCAGAGAGAGAGAGAGAGAGAGAGAGAGAGAGAGAGAGAGAGAGAGAGAGAGAGAGAAAGAGAGAACGAAAGACAAAAAGAGAAAAAAAATGCTTCCATGGAATGACCAGAACATTAAAATGCATTAACATCTGGTTTTGTTTGTTTGTTTGTTTGTTTTTTTTTATCCCATTTTTGCCTTCAATGAAAAAGCTTTTATTTTCAGGTCACATGACTCAGCCGGAGTCGCTCTTGATGGCTGGGATTTTGAAGTGATAGAAGCATTATGAGGGAGGAATTTACTGCAAGGCTTTTTACTTCAGCACATCCACTTGGGTAACATCCAAACAAAGGGTGCTCAAAAAGGGTCTGGTTCTGTGACGGTAGTTTAGTGACCTTCATTCATTCTTTGTGACAATGCAAACACCCCCAAATTGTTTACTGTAGTAATATGGACTAAATTGTTCTGCTTTGTGGAATGTTTGTGTTTTTTTCCCACAACATGAAAGCAACTTTGCCCTGGTCATGTCATACAAATGTAAAAATGACAAACCACTGTACAACGGAACCATTATAAACCAATGTAAAATAAAACAACTCAGCCTTTGATGGCAGATTGGAGAGAGAGGCTTGTCAGTGTCATGCTTTTGATCAATTTTAAATGGCATGCAAGTGTAAAAAAAAAACAAAAAAAACAAAAACATATTGAAATGTCAAAACAGAAAAAATGCCTACCATCTGTTCAGTCATGCAGAGCGAAGATTACTGCACGAGCGTGTGAGGTTGGCCAATGGTGAGTCAAGCCTTCGATTTTCACTCGTGCAGGCAGCACTTCATAAACTGCACTGTGTGTATTTGGCATCACAAAAAGCGAATACTCCCAACACAAATTGCGTTGACAACTTCTCTTAGCAATCAAACTAGTGCTGCTTATCAAAAGTTAACCAGTGCATCCAACCAAAGTCATTGCAGCTCTGCTTACCTTCTGGCTATGACATGACAGTTGGGGATGTGGATTTTTCTGCATCAGTGTTTTTCAGACAATATTGTCCCGGTAACACATGGTAGTGGCTCTGGGTTTTAGCCTAGCTTCCAAATAAAAGGTGCAGAAACGTGGTGTGGGGGTGGCTATTATGTAAATTAAATGTTATTAGATGAAAAATCTGATAAAAAATACTTGATTTGGCCAGTCAGTCCAGAGACCCCACCTACTTTTATACAAGCCAATAAAAAGCCCATTTTCCAAATTATGTGCCCTTTCAAGAGAGAAAATGTAACTTGGTGAACACACTGTTGTTGTCCCCCTCTGCTACATCGTGACCTTTACCTCCTGCAAAGACAGAAGCAGTGCATGACCCCCAGTTTCCTTTGGGATCCCCCACATTCAACCCCCGGGCCGCCCCAGCCTCACCCAGTAACGAGGCAAGGCGTCAGAGGCCTGATTATTTGCACTGACCCGGGTCTGGCGGCCCGGGCACAGTCGAACTGGGTCCCATTGACTCGGCCTGAGGCAGAGGGAGGGGGGCCGGCGGTGACGGGGGGGTTTGGTGCAGCCCCCGGCTCCAGTCAGTCGGCCCTCCTCGGCAGGTTGATGAATGTCCAGAACTTCATGATCTTTGCCACCCAAGCCAGTTGAGTCGGGCTACAATGACTTACAGTCTCCACGTTACCGCCGCCAGAGGCCCCTCCACCTCCTGCCAGCCCCCTCAACCCCAACCCTTCCACCTCCAGCCAGGCAGCAAACTCTGCGGTACTCCAAAACTCGAGCTGGCTTCCTTCGCTGACTCCCCAAACACAGGAGGTCTATCCTCCCTCGGCCTGATTGAACTTATTCTACCCGGCGACACGCACTCGCAGCCCCGACCGCAGGCTGGCACACATCCACGCCGCACTTTTGACATACGTGACATCTGACTGTTGATTATGTAAGCAAAACAAACACCACATCACATATTTTGTCTTCCTGAAAGTGGTGAGGACTGCCACCAGCCCACACAAATAATACATGGGAATACTTGATGTGCCTTGGCTCGCAAGTGCAAAGCAGGTGAAAATGTCCTCTTGCCATTCCAAAAAATGAAGGCGCGCCAACAAAACGGCACACATGAAAATGGGATTTTTAAGTCAAACAGGTAGAATTTTTTTTCGAATCATATTCACCATTCAAATCAACACACTTTCATCTAATGATTTTCCAATTATTTCAGTCTAGTGCCAAAACGGATTGCCATAACACTCAAATAATGACCATTTTAACTGAAAAGTTTTCCGCAAATATTGTAAGAACATCCATCCCTAGATAGCTTTTAGTATAACATCGTATTTATGAATCATATTATCTTTTACAACTCAGCAGATACCTGCAGAAAAGGCTGTTGTTTCTGGCCTTCTTATTATTATTATTGTGTACTGCCTAAAATGGTCTGCCATATGAAACAAATAGTAACTATTTTGACAGACTAAAAGACCGGAATAGGTGAGGTGAAGTGTATTTATATTTCAAAATTATTCACCCAAAAAAACATCAAAATAGAAAATAAACCATTCTTCAGAAATAATGTAAAAATCTCCTTTACAACAGCTGTAAATATTGCAATCGCGTGCACACACAACACAGGCTGGAATGCAACAAAAATATTTGCCAATTGTTGTATTGATTGTTGCAAATATTGCAACACATTCATAATGTAAAGCTACAACACAGACCAAAGGATGGTGACTAAAAATGCACTTGAATAAATGAAGCCTCACTTGTGATGCTAATTCAGACGAGTGCGATAGCAAAACAATGGTTGGATGATACTGAATTGATAGCACATTTTTACTACATTTTTTAAATCAATGCAAGTAAACCTTTACAGATTTTAATTATTATTATTATTTCTATCTGTGCTGATTGAAAATCTGTCCTCATTTTTTTTCTCTAGCACAACAGGTGTTTGTACCAAGGCTTCAATGCATTCTCTCACCATTTGTTTGTTCATGCGAGGAGGTCAGGAACCAGGTTATGGATGATGGATAGGTTGACAAGTTCAGAATAGTGAAACGATATTGAGCTTTCAAGCTTGAAATAAGGCACGAGGCGAGCTTGGTGATCGTCTCATTGTCGACACATCAACATGACTTAAGACGCCATCTTGTTTTTAACCCTTGACCCCAGGAAGAAGTGCAGACCTCTGAACGCAGTAGTCATACCTGGCCAGTGGGGGGCATACTAAACAAAAACAACCAAACCAGAGTCAAGATTTCAACAACAGATCTGAACTTCAACCACGGTATAACTCCTATCATCATGTATCTCAATTATATTGTATTTCATTTCCACAGATAATAAAGTGATCAACACAAAAACAACTCTTGAGTAAAATACATTTTTGAAATCGGTGTAAAAAATACATTTAGCGACACATAAAGGCCACTCTGATTAAAATTTGCTGTTGACCAGTATAACTGGACAGACTTAAAAATACAAAAACTTTCGAATGCCAAAAGTAGAATGGTTAGTCCGCTGTGAGGGAAAGAAAGAAGCAGGAGGTGCAGTACAAAGAAAGCTATCAAAGATTAACATGCGTGTGCTATGAGAACGGCGTGTATTCATTATTTTGGCATCATGATTTCCCCCCGCAATTGTGTCTGGCTACATTCACTGCAATTTGGATGACGCACACGTCGCCACACATTTTTTTAGCCACCGCTGCCTTTGTGCTTTGCGCCATCTTTCCATCGAAGTGACCCCTTCAATCATTGCCACCTTCTCCTTTTAAGTTTGACTTCCACTTCATTTAATGTAACAGTGCTGGTCCAATAATCCCATTGGATGAAGTATCATTATTACTTTTTGCGGGGTTAAGAGGAGATGGAAATCTGTTGTGGGTTGTACAATGGCAAACAAATAAATAAATAAATACAATTTGTACCAACTGCAACATGCTTGTCAGCGCATCATATTAGCATTGTACTAACAATGAAGAGGCAGATTTGAGTGCGATGAAGCGAATGTGGATGGCATTTCATGCTGCTGAGCAGTTGTTGCTTCGGCACGTCGATTCAATTTAAGGGCTGTTTCCAAATATCGATTAGCAACCTCATGAAAAAGGAAACTGAATGTTTCCGACTGGAAAATGGAGTTAGCCTAAAATTGCTGATAATTGGATGAATTTGTTAAGGAACATGGGAACGTGGTCAACACTGACAAGACAAAAAAAATTGAAATGACAAGAAACACATTTCATTTTTCTGAAGAATAAAATAGGCTAACCATAGGAGAAGTTGTGTTTTTTATTTCTCAATAATCCATATGCACACCCTACTTGACTCTCACCCACTTCCTCTCTTTGTAGCAACTTGCTTCTGCCCTGACAATCACACTATGTTTTTATGGTTTAATGAATGTGATAGAGGTATATATACAGTGTTGGAGACTCAAAAGCAGATACGGGTTGGCAGTTATCAATTACAACAGGTCGGCAGATGTGCTGGGCTCTGCTCATTGTGCGAGTGTGACTCGATAATTGAAAACTTTTTCGTTCCACTCGGGCTGGACATGTTGCGCTGTATGCGACAGGCCTCAGGAAGATAAAGTCATAATCATATGTACTGTAGTCTTTTTTTGTTTTTTGATTTCTTACAAAGGTCATAAAAATATGAAAATAATATTTATGATATTAAGAAAAAGTCTTCATTTCACATATATTGTAAAAAGTGTTATTTTCCAAAAATTGAAAATTCATAATTTGACCAAACTAAATGCCGAGAAAAAACAGATTTTTTTTTAAATATTAGAAAAAAAATGTATGTATGTATGTATGTATGTATGTATGTATGTATGTATGTATGTATGTATGTATGTATGTATGTATGTATGTATGTATCATGTGTATACCCGTAACCATGCAAGAAGTCATATTTTTTCCTAATTTTTTTGTTGCACATTACGAGAATTCAGTAAGATTTTTTTTTTAAGTAACAGATGCATTTTCAGGAAACAACACACACCGGAGCGGCACGACGTCCATGTGTGAATTTTGACATTGACTCTTCGAAGTTACAACTTCATCCTCCTTTGTTTACGATATCAATACTTCTTTTCGACCTAAGTTTTGACTTTCTGTTTGTCTTGCGAGTGATACTCCTTTGTAGTGCCTCGATGACGTCGGATGACAGCTGATGAGGATCTTGAGCGTTTAAGTGATAAAGCTGACAGAGTGAGTGTCAAAAGAGGTCTTTGAATGTCCTTTGAAAGGCAACAGTGTCCGCGCACGCCTCATCCGTTTGTTCGCTTTAAAGCACATCTGACTTCCGCTGAATCCCCCCTGCCGGTGCAAGAGACATTCCTGACAAACGGGGTGAGCCGGGGGCTTTGAATGGCGGCCTTGTTGAGGGTCAGCCTCGGCGGCAGTGCAGGGTTATTCGGGGGGTGGTGAGGGGGCTGCCCCGCTGAGCCGGTCCGTGACCCGGCCTCGGAGCGGCGTTCCCAGGTGACAAATAAAAAACATGGCGAGGTTGAGGGGTATGGTTACCTCGGGCTACACAATGCTAATTCCACACAATGTCTCCAGTTGTCGAGCCTCTGCCAGCTATTCGCAGGATGGCTGCTAATTGGGAAAAAAAAAACAATAGGCTCCTTGAGTATTTTTATCTGCGGTTGGCGCCACACACTCATCGGGCGCCATCGCCGCTTCACGCCACATTTTAAAGCGTCATAATTCATACTAAAGCGCACTTCAGTAATGGTGAGTGGTGCTTGGAGATATGGAAATTCCAGACGGTCGCCGTTCTTATCTGAGATGACTGAGGCCAGATATTAAGTCAAAAAGAGTTTGTTAAAGGCAAAGGTGCCTCATAAATGCTTGGCCTTATAAAGGACAAGTTAGGAAAATTTGCTCCCTACTGCCCAAAGACGGCTGGGATGGGCTGTGGCATGCCTGCCTAAGGATAAAGCAGTTCGGATAATGGGTGGACGGATTTCAAGATTTCGCGGCACAACAAGCATCAAGTTCCTCCTTTCTTCTACTTTCAGTTCTGTATGATTGACAAAATACTTTGAATATTTAGTTTTTTGAAATTGGAATCTTTCCAAGTATTTACGGATACTGTTGATTGAAAGATCCCAACATTTTTATCCCAACAGAACTTTGCGTAGCTTTAAGACTTTTTTACAAAACGAGATGTGACATTGTGGAGTTTCGCTGTTGTCTGCTGTGGGGTAATTAACAATAAATGGCTTTGTCAGCTACAAACACTCTATGAATAATTTCATCCAGGCAAAAAGCTTTGTTTAGTTCACACAAAAAGAAAAAGGAAGTGACAGGATAGTGTCAGTCAATTCAGCTGTCTTAACATAAACTTACAAACACGTACAGATTTGTGTTGTCTGACTGAAAGCCAGACTTGGAGCAGGATGTCAAGCTAACAGCACACTGATGTATTCAATACATTGTTGACAGTATGTTGAATATCTCCATTGCTAAGGCGACAAATATAGAATCAAAGGATTAGGAAACAGAACAGCAAACATATAGCTCGCTTATCTTAGCATGACTCCAAACAGTAATTGTATATGCATAATAAAAAATGTAGTCTGAAAAAGTATGTTAAAAGGATATTTCCTGTCACTGTTGCTTGTTATCTTAGCTAAGTCCAGCCACCGAGTTAACATGGGTACAACCATTTACTGGCACTAAAATCTATTACTACCACAGTTTTACTTGACTTGCTGTGGTCACTATCACCGATCAATACGCTTGTTAGCTTAGCTATTTGTTGCCCTCATGCTAAACACATTAATATTCCATTTACTTTTATGTCACTTTTATTCAGATTTTGTATAACTGACACACAGATGATATGTGGTAAAATGAGGCTTTTGAGTCTTGTTCGCTAGCTATTTCCCATCATTAAGCTCGCTAGTATCGTTTAGCCATTTCCCGCCACAAGCTAACAGCTGTGAGGCCCAGCTGAGTGTTACTGCCGTGATCTAATTGTCACTAAACAACATGAACTTTTGGAGTCTACAGGTTCTTTTGCTCAATGAGAGAACGTCATAAATGGCTGTGGGTCGCTTGTGTAAAAGTTGGGTGCGTCTTGTCGGGAGTGCTAACACAAAGCACATGTTCAACTGCTGTCCTCCAAATGAATGGGCCTTCAGGGAGGGCAAGGCATGCCTCTGGGGACATTCCGCCGTCGGCTGCTATTGAAACAACATGGCTAAGATAAAGCGTTAGGATCTCAGAAGAATAAATGCTGAGCGCCAGAGGAGGAGCTGAGCTCATCCTGCAAAGGAAAACAGTGAGCATTGCGAGTGATGGACACGCATGATGACTGTGGCGCCAGGCGACCTCGCTCTACTTGTGGGCTGCATGGGAAATGGAGAGCATTAAAGAGCTGGCGTACTTGCGTTTGTGCTGATGTCACCAATGTGCTGGCTATGACTGTTTTTTTTCCCCTTTCCAAATTGTTCTATTTATTTTCCTCTCCTGATGGCGGCACAAGGAGAACAAAAACGATTATACAAGACGTCTTGAGGCTTCAATTCACTTTTTACAGACACGATTCTCCAACAAAATTCGAAACCCCAGCCGATGTTGGTCAACGAGTGAAGCCTAAACTGCAGCTTTGAAGAAAATCAAAAATAAAATCAGCGTGATACCACAAACAAACCCTGCCCAAGCGTGCCATTTTGTGACTGCCCAACAAAATGTAGTTATCTTAAATGTTGTTGTCCAAAACAACAACAAAAACTGTCCAACATAAAACACTGAGATTCGTTTGTTTTGCTTTTTTAAATGGAAAAAACAACAAAAACTATCAAACAACATATATGCATCTATAAATTATTGCTACTGTTAATTAAAAAAAAACTGTTCAAAGACTGACTGTCCAATGTTTTTGTATTTTCAGTGTAAAAAACATACATTTATTTAACAAAAGGCATCTATGGCCAATTTGTTGAATTAAAACAAACAAACAAATAAACTATTTTTAAAAAGCCAGAATAATCTCCAAATTATTACTTTTTTCTTTTTTTTTTTTTTACTGAAAGATTATCTCATCTCTAATCAAAGACTGCACTTGCACATTTGGATTTTTTTTTGCATCCTTTTTTTCATCCCAAAAGCAACGTAGACTTTTGTTGACTCAAATGTTTGTATTCCTTTTTTCTTGCGACAAAAAACAAAAACGCGTAACAAAAAGCACGTATGTCAATTTTCTTTGACCCACAAAAAAACAGTTGCATCCATCCTTTGACGCTGGCTGAGATGAGGTTGAGTGAGGACATTTGCATGACATTTATGGCCCTTTTTTATTTTCCCCAAAAATATGACATTAAGTTTCAAGTTACCGGTACCTTTGCGGGAGCACTGTATTAGCGATTGTGCAGCTTGCAACTCGGCAAGCTCACACAAGGGTCAAATTGACACAGAACAGGACTTGTTGCAAAAATGCTGCATTCTGGCCAAAATCATCTGTGTATTTGCAACATTCCAGGTTATTTATATAGCAGTGAGAGAACGACCGGAGTGGAGGGGGTAATAAGTGTGTAGACTTCATGTCTCTGCTTGGTGAGAACTATTAAATTACCAGTGGATGTTTTTAATTACTTCACATAAATGTTGCAACACTAAACGAAACTTAAGGCTGAGTGTGTGTGTGTGTGTGTGTGTGTGTGTGTGTCTGTGTGTGTGTGTGTGTGTGTGTGTGTGTGTGTGTGTGTGTGAGTGAGTGAAGCAGAAAAGTGAGCATTCCTTCTGTTGGCGTGAGGCAGAGGAAATGGCTCATAAAAAAACTATCGGTGCGTCCTGCTGGAGCCTCTCATTCTGGGATCCACTTAATTGCCAGTTTTGGCTGCCGTTTATTTTCTCATACGGGATGAAGCAGCCTAAACCCACTCAGAGCGCTACCAATAGGTCTTTTATTATTAGTATTATTAATGAGAAGAATAGTGAGAAAAACACTGACATTTGGCTTCTTTGCTAAAGCCAGAGTGGGGAAAACAGGAATGATTAGTTTTGTGGGTTTTTTTTTTTTTATCACACTTGATTTCGAATATGATGATAAATGACTAACTTTACCCATAGCCTGTCTTCATTTTGTTTGTAAAGTGTTGCTTTTAATGGAGTGTTTCTTATAGTTTCTGCAAATATGAAAAAAAAAATGTTTCTCAGTGAGAGAGAAAAACATCACAATTGGGAGTATAATTTTCTTTGTAATCTTTAATGTATTTTTTTCACATTTTAAATTATGATACTATGTATACAGTATATTTACCACAAAAACAGTTACAGTAGCAGCTGGTAGGTTTTTATTTACCACCTACGATTAGCTTCAATTATGCGGCTAATCGACAGTAATTGCTAGCTAGTCAGTATTTTCTACCTAGTATTAGCTTTAGCAGCTGTGCGAGTCACACATCTAATGCCTCAAGTATATACCAACTAGCACTGGCTTTGGCAATTGTGTGTCTCATTTAGCAGCTAGTTACCAAGTGTGGCCACCTAGTGTTATCTATAGGGATTTTACAGCTCGTTACTAATTCTTTGCCAGCGGTGTTGGGATTCAGTAGCAGTGTCAATCTTCCAAGGATTATTTAGCAGCACTGATGATGTCTTAAACAACTATGTGAGTCATTTAACAGCTCGTTATCAAGTATTAGCAACCTTGCATTAGCTTCAGGAGCTAACCTAGTTAGAGACTATGTAGCATTACCGTTAGCAGTCATTCACTCATCCTCCAGCTCGTTGGTGAGTGTGTGCTAACTAGTATTACCTGTCGTGACTGTGCGATTCATCTAACAGGTAGTTAGTGAGTATTTGCTATGTAGTGTTCGCTTCAGTCGCCATCCATTCTTTGAAGAGATTAAATTTGCAGCCTAGAATTATAGCTTCAGTACCAAGTATTTACTGCCGACCGTGAGCCTTAGCAACAAACTTTCCATTTAGATTTGCAAAACAACAGCTTGTCAACAGTGTTACTAAAAATGAGCGGCACTTGCGTAAAACATCAGAGTTTATTTTCAGTGGCCATGTTTATCACACTTGTGACAGAGCCACCAAGGCCCAAAAGCGTCACGCTAAGATGTCATTTTGAGTCAGGCTGCCGAAGTTTCTTCTTTCTTTTGTTCTGCTTAATTGCATCGAGAAGTAGGTGGCTTCCTGTCAATCCGAGTGCTGGTGCACCCTCTCCCCGCCCCCGGTTGCCCCCTTGGTGCCCGACACCACCGCTGCTGCCCGCTATTGTGGCGAGGAGGAGGAGAGGATGTGGGACAATGCAAGGAAGGAAGAGGAGGGAATCGACAAAGAAGACAGTGTTCCCCCTGAGAAGTCTATCTCCTTCCGTCCCTCTTGACCACTGACTTTGTCATCCCCACACCTTATTTAACTTTAGATGTTGTTCAGCAGGCGACAGAGTGGCGAGTGGTAAGCATATCCGCCAACAGTTCTGAGGTCACCTGCTCGGATGTGAGCTCCAGCCCTTCTTTGCAGAATTTGCATGTTCTCCCCACTCTTGCGTGACTTTTCTCCATTTCCTTGCACATTCCAAAATCATGCATGTTAGTTTAATTGAAGACTCCAAATTCTTCTTTGATGTGAATGTTAGTGTGAATGCTTGCTTGTCTATATGCACTGCAATTGCCTGGCTAGCAACCTAGGGTGTAGCTTGCTTCTCTTGCTCGTAGTCAGCTGGCATAGGCTACAGCACACCCGAGACGCGAGGTAAGATAAACGCTGCAGATGATGGATGGATGCCTACGTTGAAGCCAATTAGCGAGTATCTTCCACCTCATGCTAGCTTTAGCAACCAAAAGAAAACATGTCTAATGGCTAGCTTGTGTGCTTTGTCCAGCTGGCGTTGGGATTACAAAGCTGAAGGAAGAGTCATCTCATGACCTGTTAGCACATTATTGCCATCTTGCTTGAACAGCCATGTGACTTAATAGAACTATTTTCCAATTAGTGTTAGCTTTAATAGCCAATCGACTTTTCTAGTGATCAGTTGTCAGGTTTTTGCCAAAGCTTTAGTATCCCCGCTGTATTTGTGTTTCATACATATTGTTGCTGCTAATATGTTTAGGATAGATAGTTATTTTGGATTATTTATGAAATATTAGTGAGATAGCTGTTTGACGCATGGACCAGTGCAAGATGGGAAAATACCGTTTTATTGTCATCTTTCACTAGCGCATGCAACAAGCAGCTCTCTTCATCTGGCCTACGTACGCCACAAGCCAAATGAGTACATACCGTTGCAAAGGGCACCCCGGCAAACTTGTCGGTGGAAGGAAATGTGTTTCCAGACATTTTGTTTACGACGTAGGCTGACTTTTTCCATTAGTGTCTCACACACTTAAGCCTCTCTTAAGAGAATGTGTATCTCAGCTGATGGATCGCCCTATCGTCAAGCCGTCTGGCCAAAGAAGGGGAATTAAACCCTCCGGATATGAAGTCAAACTGCAAAATGCGACCTGTGCTTTTTCAAGACTTGGCCAGGCTGACACATAATGGGCCTTTATTAAAAACCTCAGACCTCAAAAGGAGGACTGCGACACTGATACTTGGCGGCAGTGGCGAGTGGAGAGACGAGAGAGTGCTGAGGCATCACAAAACAGAGCCGCGGCGCATGCATGAGCTCACCACGCCGCTATGCCAGCGCAAGGCCGCAGGAGCCGTGGAAATATTTGGACGCGGCTCCTGGCTTGTCTGCAGAACAAAACGGCGCGTCGTCTCCCGCGGTCGCCAGGACACGTGTACACGTGAAAAAACCGGGCCACTCAGCAGGAGGAAGCCGCAATCGTACCCCGACACCGCAGACTCGACTTCGTCAGGCCGGCGTGACTTGCTCTTGATGTACTTTGAATGTTTTACCCCACAAAAACATTGTTCAACTAACCACCATTAAATTTGACATCTAGCATTAGCTTTAGAAGCAGTTAAGATTTGTCTACTTGCCATTTTCAAGCATTTGCTGTCTTTTGTTAGCTTTAGGGGAGTATGACGTCTCCACTGGCTGATTAGTGAGTATTTGTTACCTAGCGTTAGCAGCTGCGCGACTCATCTAATCGCTACATAGCGAGTATTGGATTTTCCAGCTACCATTAGCATAAGCAGCCATAAGACTCACAATGGTTCGCGATAATTTCAGACCTAGCATTAGCATTAGTAGCTGTAGGAACTTGTCTGATGGCTAGTTTGTTTGAATTTCCATCCATCCATCCATTTTCTACCGCTTATCCGGGGTTGGGTTGCGGGGGCAGCAGCTTTAGCAGGGAAGCCCAGACTTCCCTCTCCCCAGCCACTTCTTCCATCTCTTCCTGGGTTAAGCAGCCATAAGACTCATGTACAGGCTAGTTCTTGCTTTCGACCTCACTTGAGTAGTGTAAAGTGTAAAGACCCATCTATTAGCTAGGTAGCGAGTATTTTCCTGTTAGCGTTAGCTGAAGCATCTGTGCAACTCCTCTAATGACTAGTTTACAACCATTTTTTTGTCTTGTTTTGGCTTTTGTTGTCATGTAACTTATAGTGGCAAGATAGTATTTCCCACCTAAGTTGAGCAGCCGTTATGAAGTATTTGCCCCCAACATTAGCTTTAGTGGCAGGAAAACACGTCTAATGGCTACTTGATAAGAATTTGCCAGCTACCATTAGCTTTAGATAATCAGTCTTATCTCATAGCTAGTTATTCAGTATGTACGTTTTAGCAGACATCCATTTTATCTAATGGTGAGCAACTGTTCCCTACCTTCCATTAACTTCAGCAGCCATCCTTCTCATCTAAAGACTGTCTAACAGGGAGTTAGTAAGTATTTGGTGGCTCGCGTAAGCTTTGCCAGCGATGCAACTCTACCAATGGCTAATTAGCAAGCATTTGGCTCCTAGAATTAGCTTTAGAAGCGATGTGACTCATCTAATGTCCAGTTAATAAGAATTTGCAAATTATCTTTAGCTTTGGTCTCCATGTGACTCATCTCATTCCTAGTTGGCGAGTATTTTCCACGTAGTGTTAGCTTTAGCAACCATGTGACTCATCTCCGACGTAATATATTTTACAATGTAGCTTCATCATGCGTGTGACTCCTCAAATGGATAGTATGCGACTATTTACCATGTAGCCTCAGCTTGAGCACGCATGATGACATCCCATTCATAGTTTGTGTGTATTTTCCACCTGGTGTTAGCTTTAGTGCCATGTAACACATCAAACACAGTATTAGATGCTGTACCATGTAAGATAGTAATAGGATTTATCTGTGTTGATATTGTGTTCGTCAGAGAAGATCAGTGGTGGGAGTGTCAGAAGTGTGTGTTTGTGTGTGTGTGTGTGTGTACTGGGGGGGGGGGATATCCCTGTGAAAAGGAACTCATAAAAGTCCCATTTGTCGGTGATGCATGAGCAAGTGAAGGCAGCTTTGGCGCACGTGTTGGCGGTGGCGCTAAATGAACTGTTAAGACAAATAATCAAAGACTGCACTGGCGCCAGTCGAACGAGAGAAGTGGGGTGGGAGTTTGGAGGGGTTTAATGGTTCCCCATCCGCAGACCCTCCGCGCTCTCTAGCAGGTGGAGGACCCACTGACCAGCCAGCCGTCAGGGGCTTTCACAGGACGGAAGTGCTTACACAAAAGAGGCCGAGTGGCCCACTGACAAGAAGAAAGTGCTGCCGCACTCCCCTGCTTTCCAGCTATTGTGCTCCGGCACGGTTCTCTTTTTAGATGGTCTCTCTGGAAGCAGTCTGACAGCTCTACGTGCCAAAGGGCGTCAATTCCACTCATGGCCGCCTGCTCACTATTAAAGTGATCGCCGACATCACCGTTTGTGTTACAGGCAGCGTAACACGTCCTAAACTTTGGTGTGAAACACCTCACCTGAGCTGTCATTAGAATCCAAATGTGCATAGGGTACAATGAAATCTCAAGACTGTCACAGAATTGTTGGTGTGGGCCCTTTTTTTCCCTGCTCACATCAAAAGGACAAGCGTGTTCATTTATCGGACTGCAAACACAGCACTTGAATCCTCACCAGGCACACCGCTTGAAATAACTTCATCGGCTTGGATAATTACTTCCCGTAAACCCTGCTGTGCGTGTGCACGATGATGACACTAATAATTCACAAGTACGTAAGGTTGTCTATACTGTATTACATTGTACTCCACCTCATTAGGTGCACATGCGCCATGTATTGTAATAATATTCACCACATGGCTAAAGATGCCGACAATGTATCCTGCGGCTGTTTGAGACTGTACATGCACAGAACTATAAAAGTTGAAGCACATGACTATCACATGACTGTCACCTAAGGCTCACATGAATTTGATTGACATTGACAGAACAAGGAAAAAAGATGCCATCAAAATGGAAGTGGGAGGCCAATTTGAGCTTTCAAATACTGGGAGAAATTCCCAGTTTTGATTGATACCACGAGAGTTGTGTATTTAACAGGGTGTTTACTGCTGTGGTTGTAGTTTGCAATAGTGTCATACAGACTGCTTTCAAATGTTTTCCTTACCATATTTTGCTACATTTGTGGTGGCAAAAGTCATTAATGCTGACAATAAGAGAGAGATGTGGATAAACAGTGTCAGTCATTGTACACACACACAATTTTATATATACTGTATATATATTCTCTTGTCATTAGATGTTAAAAGTTATTTTCAACAGAGCTGAAATAAAACTTCAGAATCCTCTTTGTTGTTCATGTTGCCTGGTAACTGAATGTTTCTTTTATAAATGTTTGTTTTATTCTTTTTTGTCATTGATATCTGTGGAACGAATCAGTGCATGTTCACAATAACAAAGACAACAGTTTAAAATTGAAAGCACCGATGAATAGGCCCTTGCATCCCATTTTCCCGGCAAATAGGTTGCATACTGCCCACATTTGACAATGGGAAACTGGCAGTTTTTGAAAATAACGTTTCTGCAGCAGAGCAGTTTTAAGTTGTAATAACAGTGCTCACCAATAGATGGCCTAGGAATGACTATTTTGCTCAGACTCAGTCACAAAAGATTTTAACCACTCGACACCGATCTCAAAGGTACAGGTACACATAGATCACCTGTTTGATCTCAAGCATGGCTCCTTCAGACTTTTTTTGTGTATCCCGGTATGACGGACACATCCACCATATTCTGTGTTGAATGGTT